ACCATCTCAAAAAAAAAAAAAAGTTTCTGAATAAATTCATACACAAATGATGAGTCTTTATTCATATATTTGTGCATACACATATAAATCTTGTCTATCATCTACTTTTTAAAAATTAATTATTTATTATTTTTATTTTATGTGTATGTGTGTATTGCCTGCATGGGGTAAGGGCACCCATGTCATGCAATGCCCATGGAGGACAGAAGAGGCTGTCAGATGCCCTGGAACTGGAGCCATGAACAGTTGCTAGCTGTCATGAGGATTCGAACCTGGGTCTTCTGCAAGAACCCTGGGTCTTCTTCAGTGTTCTTAACTGCTGAGCCATCTCTCCAGCCCTATCATCTACTTTCTACACATTTCTCTCACATTTACACTGCTCAGGATCTGAAGAGTATAAAATTAGTGATGGTTAATTAACAGGGATCTGATAACTTTCAGATACATGAAACAAAGAAAAATGATTCACTATATGACAGTGCAGCCGATACCTTAACAAAAACAGCATTCAGCCTCATGGCAGACAGGTTTAGTACAATCAACTCAAGGAGGACATCCAACGCAGTATCAACTTCAGCCTCATTCCCACTGCAGATGTGGGTCACGAGGGCACCAACCACTTCCTATAGAGGGAAGTCAATAGGACACTGTGAGGCAAAAATGTGACATAGCCATTCCAACAGGTTTGTCCCTGAGGACTTCCTAATCTCTACTTTATTATCTATTCTCTAATTGTCATTAATGTTGACTTTGGGGGAGTCTATGTTTTTTTTACATAAGTTTTAAAAAATTATTTATTTTATATGTATGAGTGTTTGCCTGCATGCATGTAAGTGTACCTATGCCATGCAATGCCCACAAAGGCCAGTTCCACCTGGAACTGGAGCTACAGAAGGTTATTAGCCAGCATGTGGATGCTGGTACCAAACCCAGGTCCCTTGCAAGAGCAGCCAGAACTCTTAACTGCTGACAGGAGGCCTATGATTAGGCCAGTGCAACTATACTACCATACAGTCTTTCTGTTTGGTTATCCTTTGTTTTATTTTTCTCTAGACAGGCTCTCATTAGGCAACCCTGGTTCCCTAGACCTCACTATGTATCCCAAGCTGGCCTCAAACTTGTGATCTTCCTGCCTCTACCTTTCAAGTGCTAGGATTATAGGGAATGCCTACACTGGTTCTACCCAATCTTCACCTTTTCCAGTAATTTACTAGTGAGCAGGATCTAAGCTCTTCTGATTTTGCTCCTTGGGCTTGTCTTCCTTCATTTTATTTCCCTGAGTTAAATTTTACTCTAAGTTGTGACTGGACTTATTGTACTGGAATTGCTTGAAAAGACTATATACTTAAAGAGCTATAGATTTCCTGTATATAGTACAGGTCAGACTTACATGATTCCAAGAAAACATGGGTCATGATGGCCTTAAGACATTAAGATGGTACAAAAATGTCTCCAATTTCATTCTCCCTTTCCTATACACTGCTGCTCCCTAACAGTCATACAATTTTCTTGGTTGCAATTTTTTTTTTTCCTGGTCTTTTTGAGACAGCATCTCCCTGTAGCCTCAGCTGGCCTGGAACTCACTATATAGGCCAGGCTGTCCTTGAACTGACAGAGATCTGCCTGATGGGATTAAAGGAGTATACTACCACGCCCAGCCTATAGCTGCAATTCTTACCACATATCAGTTACATCTACTATTCTGCTTTAAACTTTAAAAGTTATAGAGGCTGGAGGTATAAGTGGTAGACACCTACCATGTGCAACATCCTGTGTTGGATCACTAGCTCTACAGAGCAAAAACTTTTATTTTTAACAAATCTTCATTTCTAAAAGTTCTATTCAAAGGGCTGGGGATGCAGCTCAGTTGGTAGAGTACTCCTAGCATACACAAAGCCCTGGGTTCAATCCCCAGCACTGAATAAACCAAGCACAGTGGAACATACCTACAATCTCAGCACCATAGGAAGAGGCAGAAGAATCAGGAATTCAAGGACATCCTCAGCTCAACAGTGAGTTCGAGGCCAGCATGGAATACATATGATGGAATTAAACTAAAGCCCCTGCCAGGTTAAAGTGGATTCAAACCAAATCCCCCAGACCAAAGAAGAATATTCAGAACAAGGAAGTAAGAAGTAAAATAATTCTAACTGCTGAGAAAGAGCTGACCTTTTCATGCTCCGTACACAAGCTGGACATCACCTGAAACTTCCCCCCTCCCACTGCTACCAGTTGCTGCTGGCCCCCTCCCACTGCTGCCGGTTGTGGTTTGTGGTTTTTGCCCTTAAAATTCTCCTGTAAGCTGAGCTCGGGGCTGCTGCTCTCTCTCTCTCTCTCTGAGTGAGGCAGGGGCCCGTCTGCGCAAACGATTAAATCCTCTAGCTTGTTGCATCTCCTGGTCTGAGGACTGAGTTATTGGGGTGCGACCTTCTGTGGACGTTGGGTACCCCAGACCAGGGGGTCTAACATTTGGGGGCTCGTCCTGGATTTGGTTGCCCCCAGACCCATTTCCTCAGATCAGCAGGAGGTAAGGACAGACGTCTTGTGGTTTGTCTTGGTCTTAATGTCTGTCAGTCATTTCCTGTTTTGGGAACGTTCCGTCTGAACAATTGTGCCTGTACAGGACCTGTAAGTCTGTATTCTGGGAACCAGCGGGAAGTCTGTATTCTGGGAACCAGCAGGAGTGACAGACGTGCCCAGAGGCCCCTGGTTCCGACACTCTGGCCTTAGTGACCAGAGTGATCTGGAGTGGGGAGGACAGCGTAGCTTTCCTCACCCCAGGAGAAGGGAGATTGGCCTGGCTACTCCCCTCCCAATCTGTACTTTCAGTTTTGAGTCAAGAAACCGCAGCGAGGATTTTTGTTTTGTGTTTGTCTGTGTTTGTACTTGGGGATCCTGAAAGTGAAAATGGTGAGTGCAGTGTGTGTCTGAGTGTAAGAAGGACCGGTCCACATGAATGTGATTTAATGCGGTGTATGTATGTGCTTGATGGTGTGTTAATATCTTAAAAGGGGAAGGTCTGGTTTTGTATTTTTCTCTACACTCTCTATTTTAAACCTTCCCTTCCTCCTTCTCTTTCCTTTTATTCTTGGTAAGGCAAAAGAGCAATTGAGGTTTTCTGGTCAGGGCTACTCCCTGATGTAAGCCAAAGGCTCTTAGCCCTCTTAGCGGACCCCGACTGCCCACACGGGTGGAGACAAGGCGGCTTTTCTGTATCTCCCTCTCATCTCTGTTTCTCTCTCTCTCTGGTCACTGAAACAGGCCCGTGGGCACGGGTCAAGCAAATAAGAGCCATAGGGCGCTCACTGCTAAAAGACTCCTGTGAAAGAATAAGGGGGTCCCAGGCGTGAATCCCAGATAAATTCACGTCCCCGGCAGAAGAAAAACTGGGCAACGATAGGTACTCGTCCACAAGCACACTCACTGGTCACTATTATTTGGAGTGGCATCTCATCTTCATCTCTCTCTCTCTCTCTCTCTCTCTCACTCTCTTTCTCTCCTCTCTTCTGTGACCTCTGACTCTAGAACATTAAAAGGAAGTTGTAAAGCGAGCCCGTAATTTATCGCTAGAGGTTAAAAAAAAAAGTGGCAGAATCTCTGTTCCTCTGTATGGCCCTCTTTTGAAAAAGGATGGCCAAGGGATGGGACTTTTGACCTTGCTACTATCTTGCAGGTTAAGGAATACATTTTCCACCCAAGACCACATGGACATCCGGACCAGGTGGCCTACATAGTCACCTGGGAAGACTTGGCCTGGAACCCCACATCTTGGGCACGGCCGTTCCTACCTCCTAGGGGAACTGAAGAGACTGACCGGGGCCTCCTGTCCCTTCTGCTCCCCTGAGTCTTACTCTTCCCTCCTGCCCCTTCAGTCTGCCCCTGAGAAGAAGTAAAAGCCAGTCCTCCCCGAGGACCAAGCTTCCCTAACCCTCCTTGATAAACCTGACAAATCCCCTCCTTTAACAGACTCTGCTTAAGGAGGGATAGGGGCCCCTCTGATGGAACCTGGACTGCCCAGGTTTTTCCCCTCCTAACTATAGGGGATCAGATCCAGTACTGGCCTTTTTCAGCCTCTGATTTGTATAATTGAAAGACTCATAACCCCTCTTTTTCTCAGGATCCTCAGGCTCTAACTGCTTTAATAAAGTCTATTCTCCTCACCCACTAACCCACCTGGGAGGGTTGTCAGCAACTCCTCCAGGCCCTTCTAACTACAGAAGAAAGACAGCGAGTCATCCTGGAGGCCCGGAAAAATGTCCCCGGGCAGGATGGGAGACCCACTCTGCTCCCAAATGAAATAGACGCAGGATTTCCTCTGACCAGACCCAACTGGGACCCTGAAACCATGGCCGGTAGGGAGCGTCTCCGTCTTTATCGCCAGACTCTGTTAGTGGGTCTCAAAGGGGCCGGAAGGCGCCCGACCAATTTGGCAAAGGTACGTGCTATAACCCAAGGAATATTGGATGTACACCCCTTTTGATCCCACAGCCCAGGAGCATCAGGCAGATCTTATTATGGCCTTTATAGGACAGTCAACTCCTGACAACAGGATTTAGACTAAGAGAGGACAGAATCAGAAAAGAGCAGGAAGCTAAAAAAGATAAAAGAGAAAAATAAAGAATTAAGTCAAATTTTGGCCTCAGTAGTTCAGGAAACAGGACCAGGACCAGGTAGGAACCTGGGAGACAAGAGAAGGCCCTGAGTGGATAAAGACCAGTGTGCCTATTGCAAGGAGAAAAGACATTGGGCTCGAGAACGTCCAATGAAGCTAAATAGACTTCAAAAGAAAACAACCCCAGTCCTGACTCTAGGGGACTAGAGAAGTCGGGGCCAGGAGCTCCCCCCTGAGCCCAGGGTAACCTTGAAGATAGGGGGGCAATTGACTACCTTCATGGTAGACACAGGAGCTCAGCACTCGGTCCTAACAACAACCGAAGGACCTATGAGTTCCAAGACAGCCTGGGTCCAAGGGGCCATCAGAGGAAAAACATACAGATGGACCACAGAAAAAAAAGTGGACCTCAGCACAGGACGAGTCTCCCACTCGTTCTTATCCCCAACTGTCCATACCCTCTTCTTGGGAGAGATTTACTCTCTAAGCTGGGAGCCAACATCCACTTCAATACAAAGGGAGCTACTGTAAAAAGAAAAGATAGAGCTCCACTACAGGTATTAACCTTGCGGCTGAAAGATGAACATCAGTTACATGAGGGACCGATAGCAAGAATTCCTGGTATACCTGATTGGCTAAGTAAAATCCCCTCAGCATGGGCCGAGACAGGAGGCCCAGGACTAACATGTAACCAGCCTCCAATAGTGGTCACATTAAAACCATCTGCAACTCCAGTTTCAATTAAACAATACCCTATGAGCAAAGAGGCCCGAGAGGAAATTAGAGTCAAAGACTTTTACAAATAGGCATACTCTGCCCCTGTCAGTCCCCCTGGAACACCCCACTGCTCCCCGTAAGAAAGCCAGGAACGAATGACTATCGACCGGTCCAAGACCTAAGAGAAGTCAATTGGAGAATAGAAGATATCCACCCCACTGTTCCAAATCCCTACAATCTCCTGAGTTCCTTGCCTCCTAGTCACAGGTGGTATACTGTACTTGACCTGAAGGATGCATTCTTCTGCCTAAGGCTGAGCCCGGTTAGCCAGCCCATCTTTGCCTTTGAATGGAAGGACCCTGAAGCTGGAATATCGGGACAATTAACCTGGACACGGCTTCCCCAAGGATTCAAGAACTCCCCCACTCGGTTTGATGAAGCTCTACACCGTGATTTGGCTGATTTTCGGGTAAGAAACCCACAGATTATGCTTCTTCAATATGTGGATGACCTCCTCTTAGCAGCTGAGACAGAAGCTGGCTGTCTGCAAGGTACGGAGGCTCTCCTACTGAGACTGGGGGAACTTGGATACCGGGCCTCGGCAAAAAAAAGCCCAGATCTGCCTACAGCAGGTGAACTATTTGGGCTATAGGTTGGAGGGAGGACAATGTTGGCTGACAAAGAGCAGAAAACAGGCAGTAGCCTCTATCCCCCCACCAACCTCAGCCAGAAGACTCAGAGAGTTATTGGAAAGCGCAGGATTTTGTAGACTATGGATACTGGGTTTTGCTGAAATAGCAGCTCCTCTATATCCTTTAACAAAGAGTGGGACCCCTTTTGTCTGGACTAAAGAACACCAGAAAGCTTTTGACAAGATAAAAAGAGGAAGCGTAGGATTTTGTAGACTATGGATACCGGGTTTTGCTGAAATAGCAGCTCCTCTATATCCTTTAACAAAGAGTGGGACCCCTTTTGTCTGGACTGAAGAACACCAGAAAGCTTTGGACAAGATAAAAAGAGCGCTGCTGACGGCTCCAGCGTTAGGATCGCCAGATCTGACAAAACCTTTCATCCTATATATAGATGAAAATAATGGGATAGTGAAAGGAGTCCTTACTCAGACTCTGGGACCCTGAAAAAGGACAGTGGCTTATCTCTCAAAGAGACTGAACAATGTGGCCACAGGCTGGCCCCCATGCTTGAGAATCATGGCGGCAACAGCATCCACGGTAAAAGATTCAGATAAACTCACTATGGGTCAGCCCCTGACTGTTATAACACCACATGCAGTGGAGTCTATCATTAGACAGCCTCTTGACATATGGTTGTCAAATGCCAGAGTGACCCATTACGAGGCACTATTATTAAATCCAGAAAAGATCAAGTTTGGTAGCCCTGCCACCTTAAACCCTGCCACGCTGCTACCAACCCCCCAGAAAGACACTGAGATTCCCCATGATTGTCAGCAAATACTTGCAGAGACCCATGGGACCACAGAGGACCTCACCAACAAGCCCCTAACAGATGTAGATGTCATCTGGTATACGGATGGGAGCAGCTTTCTGCAAAACGGTGAATGTAAGGCAGGGGCAGTAAAGGTCGATGGGGAGAAAATAATTTGGGCCCAAGCCCTGCTGGCTGGAACTTCAGCCCAATGGGCTGAATTAGAAGCCCTAACCCAGGCCCTAAAATTAGCAAAGGACAAAAAGGTCAACATTTACACCAAAAGCCACTATGCGTTTGCCAGAGCCCATATACATGGGGAAATTTACCGGAGGCGGGGACTCCTCACCTCGGCTGGTAAGGACATTAAAAAAAAGAAGCAATAGTGGCTCTTCTGCAAGCTTTGTACTTGCCAAGAAAGGTCAGCATTATACATTGCCCTGGACATCAGAGAGATCAGGGGCCGATTGCTCAGGGCAATCGGATGGCAGATGAAACTGCCCATCAGGCAGCGGAAGGCACTTGTATTTTCTACACCCATTCAGACCATGAGGCTGAAATTGAGGCACAAACAAAGGAAGGAGATGTTCTTTTCACTTATACTGAACAAGATCTGGAACTCGTTCGGAAGCTCAACGCTACTTTGGACCCAGAATCTAAAATGTAGAAATATCAGGATCGAATCATACTGCCCCAAAAGGAGGCCCTTGAGTTAATCTCCCAACTCCACCAGTGGACACACTTAGGATACAAGAAACTAAAGACACTCTTAGAAAGAGAAGAACAAATTTATTATTTCCCAGGCCTCAATCAACTAGTCCAAAAGGTAGTGGGAGATTGTGTCTCATGTTGTGCATTCCCCCGCCAGTAACCACAGCATCCTGTAGTCAAAGGCAGGGCGGAACCTCCCACACACTGGTGTGATTTCGAGCGAGCAAAAACGAGATAGGATGATGGAATCAAACTAAAGCCCCCCAGGTTAAAGTGGATTCAAACCAAATCCCCCAGACCAAAGAAGAATATTCAGAACAAGGAAGTAAGAAGTAAAATAATTCTAACTGCTGAGAAAGAGCTGACCTTTTCATGCTCCGTACACAAGCCGGACATCACGCAAAACTTCCCCCCTCCCACTGCTGCCAGTTGCTGCCGGCCCCCTCCCACTGCTGCCGGTTGTGGTTTGTGGTTTTTGCGTTTAAAAATCGCCTGTAAGCTGAGCTCGGGGCTGCTGCTCTCTCTCTCTCTCTCTCTGAGTGAGGCAGGGGTCGGTCTGCGCAAACGATTAAATCCTCTTGCTTGTTGCATCTCCTGGTCTGAGGACTGAGTTATTGGGGTGTGACCTTCCATGGACGTTGGGTACCCCAGACCGGGGGTCCAACACATACAACACTACCTTTGTAACACCACTAACAAAGTTCTCTCCAAGTATGTTTAGACATTTTCAATAATATAGTATATATAAAAATACTCAAATAAGACATTTTACTCTTACTTGGTTTCCACCAAGAACAGTCTTTCCTCTCTGGATATGTGTTATTAAATTTTGTATCTCACAGGGCATAGTAGAGCACACTTTTAATCCCAGTACTCAGGAGGCAGAGACAGGTGGATCTCTGTAAGTTCAAGACCAGCCTGGCCTACAGAATTAGTTCTAGGCTAGTTGTAACTACAGGGATGTCCTGTCTCTAAATAATAAATAAACTTACGTCTCACATTCATGGGCATATGGTCAGTCTTCAAGTGCTTTGAATTCGTTTTTTCTCACTCTACATTTTAAAGGAATAACTTTAGAACCAACTGAAATCTAATAATTTAGAGCTATATTTAACCACCTTTTCTGTATCATGAAAACCATTTGTGCATTTGATCTAAATTTTAGCTTTGACAGTTGGATCTTCCAAACCAATCTTATCACATTAAGACAGAGACCAACTGAATTTTTTTTTTCCCCTTTACTTCTGAAACAAGGTCCTGCTTTGTAACCCTGGCTGGCTTAGAACTCGTTATGTGGCCCAGGCTGGCCTCAAACTTCCAGGAATCCTCCTGCCTCTGTTTCCTGAATACTGGAATTACAGGCATGTACCACCATGACCAGCTTAGAATTGAGTTTTCTAAGCTGCTGTTCAAAGTCATTTCCCCTTTAATGTCATTTAATCAACAAGGAACATACATCAAAACACATATAATCCACTTGTAAACTTATTTTTCCATTTCCTGGTTTCTTCCTTACACAAATAAATATTTCAACATACCTGCTGGCAGTAAGTGTCAAAAAACTTAAAAGCATATTTGTATAGGTGACTTCCAAACAAAATTATCCTCTGGTCCTGGGAGTGAAACAAACTCTGAGCCAATAAGAGAATAGATGGAAAAATATCCTTAAGAACCTGAAGAGGAGAAAAGAGAAAAGAAAATGGGAAAAGTTATCATAAAACCTAAAATGTGTTATTAACCACTACTATTTCTGAAGAACCTGTCTGGGAATTCCCTAACATACAGGATAAAGCTTTCATTTTTGCAGTGGTAGGAACTGAACCCAGGGCATGGTACAAGATAAAATTCTATCACTGAACTACATCCCAAACCCCAACTCTCATTTTAAGTTAAAAAACAAACAAAACTTCTTCTTTGGGGCTGGATAGATGGCTCAGCGGTTAAGAGCACTTGCTGCTCCTGCAAAGGACCCAGGTTCTGGTTCTAGCACCCACTTGGTGGCTAACAACCATCTCAGCTCTAGTTCCAGAGGATCCAATGCCTTCTTCTGACCTCTGTAGGCACTATATGCATGTGATACACTTACACACATGCATAAAATACTCATACACATAAGAAATAAAATTTTAAAATCTTTTTGGGGGGGGCGGAGACAAGATCTTACTATGTAGACATGGCTGTCCTAGAACTCACTCTGTAGACCAGAATGACCTCAAACTTGCAAGATCTGTCTGTGAGTAAAGACAAGCACCACCGTGCTCAGCTAAAATAAACAAATCTTTGTTAGCCACCATTTGAGTGCTAAGGACTAAACTGAGGTACTTTTAAAGAGCGTGAGTGCTCTTAACTGCTGAGCCATCTCTCCAACTCCAAAATAAACGAATCTTAAAACAGACTTTTTTGCCGGGCGTGGTGGCACATGCCTTTAATCCCAGAGGCAGGCGGATCTCTTGTGAGTCGAGGCCAGCCTGGTCTCCATAGTGAATCCAGGCCAGCTAGGGCTACAGGGAGACCGTCTCAAAAAAAAGACCAAAAAGAAAGAAAGAAAAGAAGGAAGGAAGGAAGGAAGGAAGGAAGGAAGGAA